TTTCTTTTCTTTTCTTTTCTTTTCTTTTCTTTTCTTTTCTTTTCTTTTTTTATCTTGAGAATTTGAGGGAAAAATGCTCTTATCAGATGACTTACCAACCATCTCCAAGGAAGCTGTCCCTTGAGCATCATCAGGAGTGACACTGACTGGGCATCTGTACAGTCCTGTTTCCTCCAGCTGTATTTGTCAGAAGTAGGGCAGCACTGTCTTTTATTTCACTGACGTGTAGTATTCAGCTCTAAAAGGATGGTGATTTCTAGCTATAAATGTAAACAGCATGTTTTTTTTTTTTTGTGGTCTGTGCCTAGAGTTTTTAAATAGTGATTTTCATTGTTGCTATCCAGCTGTGGTGTACTGTACTTGGATATTAAGCATGGTCAGGAGATGCAAATAATTATATAAAAATTGTAACATTATAAATGGAATAACATAATTTAGTGTTCAGTTGCCCTTTAAGGGTCTCTTCAAAGAGCAAAAGGCATATTTTAAGAAAGGTATATTCTATGAATTAAAAAAAAAAAAAACTTGAACTTTAACAGTTTATGTGGCTCTTGAGGGATAATTCAATTTTCAACATCCCATTTCATTTTTCCACCAGTGCTCACCTTTCTCTATTTGCTTTTTAAGYTTCTGAAATGACTTTTGGAAGTGCCCAGTAATGCTTGTCTTAGACTCCCTCTAGTGAAGAGACGTTATGCAACAGGACATGGGACATCCTTCTGTATTGCAGTCCATGTTGTAGCACTTCTTCAGGGCAGTAAATGCATTGGTAAGATCTGCACAACCTGTAGTACAGAAGTGGGCTCAGGTACATAAATCAGCCACAGAAATAGCTAGTTTCTTTCTGTAACTGTGGAGGTTTTCAAATATATTCTGTGATTCTTTCCTGGCTGAATAACTCATCCTTATCTGCTAGCCAGGCTCTGAATTCTTACACTGTATTACTTCTAAGTGATGCGCGTGGTGGAGGGCTGGCTTGCTCCTCCATCCTTCTTTTTAATGTTAGACATAGTTATAGGACTTCTGTGTTCCCCTAAGGCAGTACTAACAGCAATAATAGCTAGCGGGGGATATGAATGAGATTCTACAGGGYGGTGTGGGTCGTACACCCACACCGTCTTCTAGAACAAAGAAATCGTGACTCTGAGCAGTCTCCTGGAAGATACTTGTGAGAAACTGTTAATAAAATGTGCATTTGGGAAAATACAAATTGTTTAGAGGGACCAGGTGCCAGTCACCCAGCAGTTCCCCAGGCTGAAAAATCTCCTCGAGTGATGGAAAAGGTTCAGTGAGGGGAAAGCTCAGTTCTATAGTATTGTTCTACTCCTGCATTTGTTACTCAAGAATATTTAGCAAAATTTAGCAATTTGGGGATCTCGGGGGGGGGGCGGGGAAGGGGAAATGCCTGCCCTCACTTCTGTTGTGCTTTTTATTTATTTATTTATTTATTTATTAAAAGGGGGTTATCCAGACTACTGCTTAGCACAGTACTGGACAGCATCACTACATAAAAAAAGTTAGTCTTGGCCACACAGCTATTCTGACAGGTATAGCTTTTAAAGTATTGAAAAATTAATGCAACTGCTCATAACATTACAAAATAAAAATGCTTATACTTTTAGAAATGCACTTGAAAGAAGTTAATAAGTTTTATTGTGTTTTCACCACATGAGAGGGACTCATGTCTGTCTACCTCTTAATTTCAAAAGTGATAGATATTTGAAGATGTATAGCAAGAAAGTACTGTTCAGGCCAACCTAAATGATAGATCCTGGCATTTACCATCTATTTTTCCATAAACCCCAAAAGGACACTCTATAGCTTAGAGCTTAACTTCTTTACAAAATATCACCCCTATGTATCACATCTGTTTTACTCAAGGTGTTTTTACAAAATGCCCAAGTTCAATGTGGGCAGGCGTAGCACCATACCCCAYGATCTCCTCAAGAGACACACAGCCACGGACATTCTAGTACCCTGAAATAGCTGGCACCTCTTTCGGCTTCAAAAGCAGAATCTGTCAGCAAATACAAAGCAATATGTAGCAAGATCTTTCACTAAATATGTGGGTGCTTTACATTTCTCTTTTACCTTTCCTGGATATTTTTGTTTTGCRTTTGAACAAATAGATTTATATGGTGTTATTGTTAAGAGTTTGTCTGTTGCGGTGGTACTTTCGTTATTTGGTTTTCTATTTTGATTGATTTTAGAAAAATGGGTGAGTGTGTGGGTGAGTGTGTGTGTGTGTGTGTATATAGATAGATAGATAAATACATACACACCTAAATGCTCTCTCTTGGGGGTATGTGTATGTATATATATTTAAAGAACACTTACGCATTTACAAATGAATTGCAGTGAGGCAGCTGGCTCCACTACAGATAAATACTTAAATGTTTTTATAAACCTTTTTCCCCCTGTTTTTTTTCTTTCYAGTGGCAATGGACTTAAATGAAAAACAGAGTAAACCCAAAAGCGGGAGTGACATTTTATGCCCTTATTTATCTCTAAAAATGGAAGAGGTAATAGCTTTCCACTTTCTCATTTGGCTATAAGCTGAGTTTAGTCACTTTAAAAAGATCCTGAGAAGTTGGTGTGATGATGGAAACATGTTTTTAAGTGAATACTTTTCCATTTGCTTTACGGAAGAGAGTACCCAATTAAAAGAATAATAGTCATTGAAAACAACAAACGGATTAACAGGTAACAAATCAAGCTAAGTATTTCATGCATGACTCAGCACACTGCATAACTGTTAAAGCAGGTGTTTCTGACAGCAACRGAAATATGCCTGAACTGTAATTGTCAAAAATACATTATCTTTACTATACTCAGACGTCTGGGCCTGAGGAATGGTGCTCTGCTGCCACAGAGGAGAAGGAGATGGACACCATCAGGTCAAGCTTGATGTTACGTAAGCTGGACTTACAGAACTTATCTTCTGATTACATGACTTAGCCCTTGCTGCCTAGGTAAGCATGTAAAGCTCATGCAACTAGTCATATGAGACTAGTCATATGAGACATGCAGAAAAGCATGAACTGGCAATTGCATTTCGTATATTTAGTCATCAAATTCTTTCAGTCTATTCAGTAGCAGTTATCTGTCATTGATAAATTTGCTCTACATTATATGTGGAACTCATTAATTTGACTTGAATATCTGATTATTGTTATGGATCTTATAGATCTTACAATTTGAAGGTTAATTTTTACAAACCAGTAGTATGTATTGTTAAAGAACAAGCTTACTAATCTAACACACAGAACATTTAGATTCCAGATAGGTGAAGGAAAAAGTGGACACAGTTTATGCTACTGACATGTAAAACCAAACTTTTGCTAATACTAACTCACAATGRAATGATAAGTGAAATTCCTTGTGCAGCTGCCACAGGCTCAGCTCTGATGCTCGCTACACCACTGGGAAAGAAGCTGAGTTCAGCACCTAAGACAAAAGAGGTGTTTTAGAAAACTCTGAAAGTTTTTTAGATGGTGAGCTACAGGTAAATGGGTCAAAAAAGTATATATAATGCCTATTTCCTACAACAGGAAGGGAGAAAGATTATTATAATCAGGATATAACGTTGCACTGAAAACTTGAGCTGGGCAAGTACTTCAGAGCAGATATTGCATTACATATAATGAGATTTGTTACAAAATACATGTAATATGTAAAGACATTGGTGTTGTAGAAATGCCTCCAGATAACAGGTCTCAGTTCTTTTATTCTCTCCACATATTTTTATCATTTTTCCTGTATAAACACTTATATGGAAGAGAGACTGGAAAACTTCCCCTCAATTTTTCTRTGATGTTTGAGTCATTCTACTGCTGCTTCCCTCCTGTGTTCTTAATTATCAGCTTATAASCCCGCTGCCAGGACAATGCACTGAGAAACTCCATTACAAGTGAGAATAATATCCCTTGCTAATRTAAGTCCATTGGATGTAGCTGTAACTATATCTGGGCTTCTTGGCAAATGGATAAAATTACAGAAAGGTAATTCAGCCTTCAGATAAAGATATAATCAAATTCTTGTTAGAACAACAAGAAATGACAAATGGTGGATATATTAGTTTGAGAAACCAATTTAGTGTTAACCACTGGGTCAAGAACAAAGAAAAAGGGACATCAGAAAAGTTTAATTGTGGTTTGAGCACCATAAATAATGTCTAAAAGGAAATAGAGCATGACAATTAACAAGATAAGGAAATAGAATCTATTGTGGCAGTGAATTCCMTTCTCTTGTGCAGAGTCCTAGTGAAAGAAACACTAAACACAGATGGAGGGTGCCTAGCTGATATCAGGCTTAACTCTGTTTCTTTGCTTAAAATGCAACTGATCTCCTTTGACACTGTCAGCAGTTAGCCACGGAACAGGAAGGAAACGCAAAGGATACTTGCCAAGGTGTATATATGTTCACTGTGTATCAGTTCAAAGCCAGCATTATACAAACAGAATAATCCAAGCAATCTGTTTAAAAATACATGAGTAAGAGAGACCCAAACTTTGGTCTTTAGGATAGATTTGGTCTGAAATTGATGACAATCACACAAGTTTTCAACATTAGAGTAAAATTCACAGGGAAAATCAACTCTTGAACTCATGTGTGGTAGCTGTGTTTGTCTTTTTCTTTTCTTTTCTTTTCTTTTTCTTTTCTTTTTCTTTTCTTTTTCTTTTCTTTTTCTTTTCTTTTCTTTTCTTTTCTTTTCTTTTCTTTTCTTTTCTTTTCTTTTCTTTTCTTTTCTTTTCTTTTCTTTTCTTTTCTTTTCTTTTCNTCTTTTCTTTTCTTTTCTTTTCTTTTCTTTTCTTTTCTTTTCTTTTCTTTTCTTTTCTTTTCTTTTCTTTTCTTTTCTTTTCTTTTCTTTTCTTTCTCTCTGAGTAAAATCTTGATTTACAGTATTAGGGAACTCTTTTGGTTCAATACCAAAATCAACTAGTAGCCCTGTTATAGGACACTTCACAAAACCGTATCAACTACTAAAAGCCTAGTAAATATTAATAGCAAGACCTCTTAACAGCCAAAGAACCATATCCAAAAGGAGCTTTTTGAAGCACATGGTGCATTTTGAAAAATCAGATATTACCACAGGAGGTAGGATAAAATCTGCACAGAAAAAGACGGTGAGTCCTGTTCTGTTTTGCACAGTATTTCCATCAACATAGAACTTTTAACATGCAAAATTTTGAGATCGTCTGGCATCTGATGAAAGAAACAGGGATGAAAGTACTGTCCAGAGCCAGGTGAGTATTCAATTGCCCCACAGAATTAATCTTAACAAGGAGGAGGGTTCAAGATCAATACACCACAAGTACAGCCTTCCTATTGAACGCTTTACAGTGAAATTCTTAGGCTTCTGAAAACATGAAAAGTATTCACTGTTGCACATMATTTTGGTAATTAGATTTTTAGAAAGTGCAAATTTTCTATGATGAAACATGCAGAATTTTGTTTCTATTTGGCCTTAGAGAAGAAAGGGGATGGTAGCACTGGAAATGGTAGACCATGGTTGTCTATGGTCTGTAGTTCTCTACTTTGCTGCTCAACGTTTCTGGAAAGAATTTTTACATAAGATAAGACCTAATTTGGTATTCAGGCCAGGTTCCTGCTGCTTCTGAGAATATTATGATTGCTGCTCTATGGCAGCTCAGCCAGCTTTTTGCTGAACCCAACAGCTCAGTCGCTTGGCCATAAAAACCCTTAGTGTTGCTGACTTTCATCTGCTCCTCGAATACAGCCCTTCATGTGATCCCTTCAGGTGATCCCTTCATTGCATTTTCCAGTGATGCATTTCAGAGAAAAATAAATTAGTGATTCAAATCTGATCAATATTTAATCTATGACTTGCAAAAGAATTTACAATTGGGGGAAGAAAGTGGAGAGTTCATAGTTTCTTTTTTTTTTTTTTTTTTTTTTTCTTTACCCTCCCCTGCAAATAATGACAGTATAAAGTTGAGGCACAAGTGGTTAAGGGTGAACTTGAACATGATCAGTTCTAACAGCTGGTTCTTGAACATGTCCTGGTGGTAAAGGCTGTTCACCTCCTGCAGGATGGCTTGGTGCATCCCCAACTTTGTGTTCCCCAGCTGTAAAACAAGAACAAAACCTCTGTAACTTCTTTATTAAATTAACCTCAAATATGACAAGTCTCTAAAGGAAAGCTGCTAGTGTAGAGAAAGTCAGACAAGAACTGGCTTGTAAGTAGAATCAAAATTTGCATAAGCTATTTGTAACAAAATCAGAGCAAGACAACCCTAAACATTGTGTTATCTTAACATGCAAAATGTCTTGTATGGCTAATTGTTTCTCTTCTGTGTGGAAATATTGTTTTCCCTGTTACTGACATCACACACTAATTAATCTGGAGATCACTTTGTTCTCTGTGAAAAAATAATAGTTATTTATGAAAGCTTTAATCCAAATAAGGGAAACCTGAAGAAATAACAACTTGTTCCTGTATTTTATTCGTTACTGCATCAGCAGTATTTTGTAGTATTTTCCCCCTGCCTACCTTGGAGTAATGCTAGTTTTTATAGATGGCTTGACTGACAACTTTTTTTTTAATCATCTTCTGTGTAGTTCTGTAGTAGCCTAGAACTTAAGACATATTTATTGGCTACTTGGGTCTCCTTAACTCAGTAAATGAATAGTGGCTACTTGTGGCTACTATAATTGACCRCTTAATGACTTAGAAGAAAAATCTGCAAAAAAGTATTTAAGAACAGTATCTGTCACAATACTGCCAGTATCAGATGACGTATCATTAGTCCAAAGGCACCTGCTATTACATGTGGTATTCTTAATGAAATTCTGTATGTGAGGCTCTYGGAAATGAGTATCATGAAATGAGATTAGCCACAGGAAGATCTGAAGTAAATTAAAGACAAAATGAAATTGTTGCTCAAATTTCATTATTTTATGCTGTTTACAAAACTGTATGCCTTGCAGGTGTAATTTCAATGTATTTAAAGTGAGCTGTAATCACCGACTCAAGTGGTTAAGTTTGAACTCTCTCTGCTGCTCCTGCAGGAGCAGTTGAGAACATTAGTATTCAAAAAGCTGCCAGGACACAGCCCAAGGCCTTTTGTTTGAGATGGATGTCAAAAACTTCTTGTGCTGTAGCACTGATAAGATAATCCTAGCACACAAACATGGAAGTCAACAAAGCCATATTTAGAGGAGAAAAAAAGAAGATGTATGACAATAGCAAAGTCCTTTAAAAGCCCATAGAAAATATTGACAATGCATTAAGAATAAAAAGATGCTGACTACTTGTCTCTCTTTTTTCTTTTTTTAAATCAAATAGTAAATGCAATGGTTTATTGTATCTATTCATATCTTCTGAGAGAGCTGAAGTAATTGGTCTTTTCCAATGCCTAAAGCTAACTTGTGAGGCGTCTTGCGCAGCTACTGGTAAGTTGGCAACAGAGGGTAGAGCTGTTGAAAGCATTTAAATGTGTACGTTTATGCTGCAGTCTGAGATTAAGATCACAATTTAGGATTACTGTCTGCGTCATGAGAATAAGCCAAGGGAGACATAACGAACAGTCTAACTGCTGACAGCCATGAAATGATAGTGGAATCAACCTCAGCTTTTGTGTAAATACGCAGGATCAAGAGTGAGGCTCTTCAACAAGAAGGGAAGGACATATTACTATGACTTCATATTCTTGGTACTCAAATCAGATATATTATAGCATGTGTGTACAAGGCAATCTACTTTTAATCTCCCTGGATTTGTGGTGGTAGTCTAGTCACAGAACAAGCAGGCCTGGTCACTCTTATGTGCCAATTTTTCCCCAGTTGCTCAGAAATCCTAGATATCCTAGATCTTAGTATATTTAGACTGTCAGGCCTAACACTTCCTCCAACGAACTGGAGTCTGTCTTCCCTGCTCATCTGATGCTGTAAGTTATGCAAGAGTGAACTTTTTCTTCTTCCTCTGGACTTCAAATTACTGAGTCTTCAGAAATCTTTTAGAAAAGATCCATGATCCATACTCTTCTCTAAGGAAGCTTATTGAACCTCTCAGATTTTTTTTGTGACTTTTACATCGAAGAACTTGTTCTAAAGTTTGTGTATCTACACAGAAAAATACATACGGGGTTGGAATTTCAGTTCTCCAGCTGGTCCTGCAGGAGGATTTCCTTGCTGCAGCTTCTTTTGTTCCATCTGTTTTACAACCTAATTAAAAAAAAATAAAAGACCATAKGTGAAAAACTTACCTATATCAACCTCAGATGTGACCTGATTACACTTAAGAAATATATACAGTTGTTAGGTGAAGTTCTTATTAGTGGRCAGAACTACTGAGATGCTTGCACTGTTTGCTATAATCTGAAGTAATAAATTACATTCTGCTGCAGTAAAATTTGTTTAGAATATGAGAAATAAATTATGGTAGGGATTGTGATCCTTGAGAATTATATGGATATAGAAGAGGATTCTTGGATTCTCATATGCATACCTGTTGAAACTCTTGCTTCTGAGCCTGAAGCTGGTCGTGCTGCCGCTGTAGCTCCTCCTTTTGCTTCTGAAGATCTTCTGCCTTCTTTCTAAGTTCATCTTCCTGCTGAGAAATATGACTTTCAAATTCCTTTAGCTCCTCTTCAGTAAAGAGCTGCTGTTGATCTAGTGTCTGAAAGAAAATATACACTATGAATACTAATGCAGGACTGATCATCTATTTTCTAATATTCTCATGGGAACAGCACTTAGCTGGATTCTATACTGACACTAGCTGTCTTCAGACCCACAGAATTTTGATCAACTCCAATTTTGATGAAATTAACTAGACATAGCACTGTAATAGGTTAGCTCACCTTGTTTTCAGTAACAAGAAGCTGCCTAGTTTATATTATAGATTTGGAGTTAGAGGGGAAAGCGATTCTCCTTACCAAATAAGCTGTTATCTTCTATTTAAAGCAATTCATAACTAAAATATCCATTTTTTTCCTGAAAGCTATGTGCAAATCAGCTCTCTAAGATCCACACGGTGGCGCAACACTTGTTCTATTTGTGTGTGAACCACAAAGATTGCATCTGATTTAGTAACATGCATACTGAAACAGGATTAAAAAAGCCCAAAGGTCAGAGGCATGCCACTTAGTATCCTGGCTATAGAGTGCTGGTAATAGCATAGTATGTGGCACTTGGAACACCTTTTCCTTACCTCCCAGCTATCTGGCTCCAAAAATTCTTTTTTCTCTGTGGCTCTCAGAAACTCTTCCATAGTTACTAGCCGGTCCTTGTTGACATCCACCTAGTTGAAGTGAGAAATTAAACTCAACAGAGAGGATATTTTTGGTGGGAGACATTATTTGATTTCACTGTACACGTGTCTTCAAATGTAGCCATTTTGTTTTTAAACAGTCCAGTTTTTGTATAATGCCTGCTACATCATTTTATTTCTAAAAACTATATACAATAAAATGGAAATAAAAACTGAATCCTCATATTTGATTTAACTGATGTGTACATCAGTGCTTCCACTCACTGGAAGCACTATGTGTGGTTACCCATTAATAGAAGCAAGGCTAATTACTTCTATTAAGAAGTAATAGAAGTACTTCTATTGCTTCTACTTAATAGAACTTAAGATTAATACCAACCTTAACAGAAGTATACTTTTTTTCCTTCAGAAATAAAATGTACTTTAACTTTCTGGTAACAATTTTGTAACTGTGAGCAAAAGTAAGCTCCACTGTTGTATAGAGAGGATTTAAAACGGGTGGGGAAAAAAAAAGTCAGAACCCTATACATAGAAGGGAGGAAATTCTTCTCTTTATAGCCAATACAAGCTCAGGCCTGTTGCGTTCCTCAGACTTAAGGAAYAGAGCTAAATTCAGAAGAGGCATGACTGAGAAACAGTGGTTCAAAATACCATCTTTTCCTCTGGCTCTAGGCTGTGAATCTATGGACATTAAATGCATTCACTCCTGCAGGTAAAAGCTTTGAGCTCTTAGACCTTTTTCTGAAGGGGCAAAAGATAGCTATGTGAAGGAAAGCATTGTCTGCTATGCTTTCACACCTCATCCATTTTGCTAGTACAAAACATAATTTAGACCAAATTCACAGGAAATATTTATTTAAATCTGAGAGCATCAGCAAAAAGGGAGGCTACAGCACAATTTCTTCTCGAGCAACTAGTAAATTAAAATCTAGTACACAAGTACATCACAGTATAGGGACAGGACTTGAGGATTGCAGATTTATGTGAATCTCAACACAAGCAGGATTCAGTAAGATGAGTGAAGCCCTTCTKTTTGAACAAACCTTCTCATCAGAAGAACTGTACTTTGTTAACAAAGCAGGAAAAGRGTAGCCCTATTAAATGTTAGCCCATACCTCATTCATTACATGTTCTCTCATTCTCAGCCTTTCTTCTTCCATTTCAACCATGTCGTCTTCTTCATTTTTGGGGTCATAGACTTTTTCRAGCTGAAATTGAAAATTATCAAATGTCAGTCTGATTAAAAAGGATCACTCAGTCAAATGAAGGAGCCTATTTGGAATAGTAACGGGTGATATTGTTACCATACTACTTTTATTTATATRTATGTCCTACGTATTCTTTTTTTTTTTTTTAGTACTTAATTAAGAATCAAGTGGCACTTTCATTGCTGTGGATTAAATTTTTAGTCAGTTCATATGGACTGTTGTAATTCAAAGCTGTGGACATCACAATACTATAAAATTCACGTTGACAGGTAGTCTGATCCTCTAAGCAGAAAGTTTCTATGTGGTATTTGGAATAAGGGAAAGGAACTGAGAGCTTCGACTACTTTTTTTTTTTTTTTTACCTACTAATACAGTTTTGTATTTTTAAAGAAATATTAAAGACATAAAACTTAGCATAAATATTTTCACTTGTAGCCCAAAGCCCCAAAACATGCTACAAGAGATGGCACRCATTCATATAATCATTTACTGGAAGAGTTTAGGCTTCTAATTTTGGTGGTTTTTTTTTTACCTCTTTAGTAAATAGGGCTTCTAATTCTTGCTCATCCAGGAAACCATCATTATTCACATCTACAAAAAGAAGCATTGAAAATACAAACCAAATAAATACAGAAGGCAAAATATGCAATAGTTACCCATGAGTTGAGTTAAATGTCAGTATAGTCTGGCATGGACTAAATATCTTATTTAATGAGATGCTGGTTACGTTGGTTACATAGGTCAGGTTTTCTGTTTAAACAGGCATTGGCTACCTAGTTCCTAACTGCTGGTTTTGTAAGTCTGGAGCAATCTCTCTAGTAGTTCTTGGATTAGTAAACTGAAATAGGTCACAACAGATTGTATACAATGCAATTGTTAAACTTCTCAAATCAAATGCGTATTCTCATTTCCCTGAAGAACCACTAGATAGCAGATCAGGACTACGTGATTTTGAGTGTTTAAAGGAAACTCTAACATCTACAACTTTTAAATCCCATGTGACATCTTATTGGTGCAATCATTTTACAAGCAATACAGTTTATTTACTCTTCTATACTCTTTGTATTTATTGAAAGTTACAAGATTCCCTCCTGGCTTATAACAAACTTGCTGAACAAACACTCTCAGCAGGAAATTAAGACAGCCACTTGATTTGTTTGTTAAACTATGCCTCTTACCGTGTAATTTGAAAAATGTTTTGGGGTCAAATTCATTTGGATCTAGTCCATCAGCTTCTTCCCACACCTCTTTGAGTTGATCTTTGCTTCCCTATAGAAGAAGAAAAACTATTCAAAACATGATTTATTAAAATTCTATTGCATTATCTTTGCATTACAATTTCTTGAAAGGACTGTTTTGTTGCAACTAGAATCAACAGAATTTTTCTTAATCCCCTCTTGGTCCTGTATAATACTTGCACTTAATAGGAAGGCCTGTGGAAAAGGGAGAATCAAGGAAACGCCTACTTAGTGGAAAACAACATCTGTAATCATCCATAAGCAAAGCATCTTCCGAACTGTATAAAAACAGACTGTGGCCTTACAGGATGGTGCACTTTAGGGTGATCTCCATGCTTTTTCTTCATCTCTTCAAATTTAGATTCTTCTCGCTGTCTCTTTTCTTCATCAAGTGTTTTTAAATACTCTCTTCTCTCATGTTCTTTCATCATCTCGTATTTCTTAAATTCTTCATGGCGTGTCTTATCATAGTTTTCCAGGTCACTTGTAGCCTAAAAATAGATGTACACACACACACTTATATTAAAAGCATGTTCTGTTCCACTGACAAATAAGACATCTGTGGAAAAAACAGCTSTATTGCCATTTTCCTGTTAAAGATGAGGTAGACTATTAGGGAGGAGCAGGGGGCTCTCGCTAGACAGTTACACAAGTTTTTTCCCATCTTGGGAAGTATATTTCAGCTGGCCACACGTAACTTAATTGTGTTTCTGTAATAAATATGGTTTAAAAAAAATGCCTGTAATTAGATAGTGAAACTACTAAACCTAATGTACATCAAATGCCATGTCCAACACAGGCAACTTAGRATTTTTGTGTTTTGAATTCTACCATGCTGTGGTTTTGAAGCTTGACATAAATAGAGCAGATCATGAAATTCAAATCCCTATTTGAAGATTATTATTTATGTCATGCTGTGAGACATCTAAAATAATTTAGGAACAGAAATCAGACTTCAGACATCAGAAAATACACTTGGGCAAATCTTGTTAAAAGGCCGCTCCCAGAACTAGAGAGCCCTTCCCAAAACTAAATGGTTCTTTCAAATAACACAAGCTGATGACAAGGTTTTCAGGCATAGTTTTTTTTTCCCTACCTGAAACTGAGCTGTGTGTCATTTACAAAAGGTGGTATACGTAAAAATATTTGCTTTCACCACAGGAGAAAAAGCATAACAATAGCAAAAAAGCATACTGTAGGTTATATCTAGTACTCACAGCTTTGATCAACATATCCAAGTCCTTAGGTTCGAAGGTGTCAGGATTTTGATGGTTCAGGTGCTCAAATTGTTTAAGGAGAGTTTGATGGTCTAAGCCAGTGTCTGAAAAAAAAAATGTACAAATGACAAACCATGTTAAAACCAACTGAAAGCAATAGAGATAAAGAAGTTAAACTTTCATACAAGAGCTTGTGCTTTCGGGGTATTTGGGGTTCCCTGAGCACTTGATAATTTTTCACTATCAGAGGAAACTATAGCAACATTTCTAAAGTAGCAGGTACCTGAGGGAGATGAACTAATTTGACAGCTATTTGTACTGTTTTCCTTTGGACACGTCAGCATTGCACTGTACACCATACCTAAACACACAGGAATTAGAGCTTGTGCCTTGGCCAGCAAATGTACAAACAAACTAAGCTTCATATACCAAGACAGATATTTTGTTCTAGACACGAGACATAATAAACACACCTCCCTAGGCTTCCAGTGGAGTTATCTGTACTATCAGACCTAGCGGGCCCAAGAAAGACACAGGTTGCTCTGTTTTGCAAATGATACATCTGGCCCAAGATGCAAAAAAAAGATGCATCCGATATAAAATTGCAGATGAACAAACACTCAAAGTCCATCTGTCCAAAGCTAAAAAATGCAAGACAATAGGGAGTCAGTTCCTGTGTCTAAAAGCTGTAAATATTTTTATTTTCTGTATGAGGCAGACTATACCAACAATATAAATAAACAACGCACTATAAAAACAAATTCAATTTCTACAACAGACTTTTCTAGATGTTATTATGGTTTTTGACAATGAATGTGAGGTTAACAATACTTTGTTAAGCAACATTATACTTTGATATAGTATGTGTAACAATTCTGAAAAACTAGATAGCTCAGAAAAGATTATTTTTTTAGAAGGAAAAAAAGATTGAAAAACATCATTTTAAACTTTTCACTCTAATAAATTATTTGGCTCCCACTATGTTCTGTGTTTGGTATTATCCTAAGCCAGTATTTGCTGTCTGGGACATATTTCAACCATCATTCCTACCTAGTGAGATCATAATTTCTGTTGAAGCAAATACTCTCCAAAAGTAAGGTAGGAAAATGGTGCTGAATGGGAAAGAGAACAAATAAAATCGAATAGCTCTACATTTCACAACTAGAGAATGCACTTTCATACACGTCCCAAGATACTACACAGAGTGTGTGTGTGTGTGTGTGTGTGTGTGTGTGTGTGTGTGTGTGTGTGTGTGTGAGAGAGAGAGAGAGAGAGAGAGAGAGAGAGAGAGAGAGAGAGAGAGAATGTATACGCAGTTGTATTTTATGAACAATTTGGCTATAAACCCAAATACAAAGAGTCTATATGTAGTATGAAGTATTTCCTGGCAAGTTCTGTTACATTAAAAACTACAAACTTGAAAAAGTATTTTTCTGCTTTTGCTGTTTTAACACATTAGTAGTAATCTGAAAATTTTTAACTGCAATCATGTATGCCTGTTGTCTCATACATAACATTTCACACTTGCACACTGATGGAATATCTGCCTGAACTGAGTGGAAGAAAGTATATGCCTGATCTGTTGTGGAAGAAAAAACACTTTTCTAAAGCATGCTCTGTTCTAAAGCATGCACAGAGCATTCTTTAGAAAAGTGTTTTTTCTTCCACAGCAGATCAAGCATATACTTTCTTCCCTGATTTATAGAGACAGAGACAGCTATAAGTAAAACCAAACTTGTTGTGATTCTCTGCTAGAAGTTATGAAATGCTTCTTATAAAAGTGTTGGTTTTTTTTTTTCTTTTTGCAAACAGAAGTTTTCTAAAAGGACAGGCTTGTCACATAAAACGTGGCAGTTTGGGTACAAGCTAAGGACGCTGTAATATTGAACTTCTGGGGCAGCAAAAGCTTAGAGTAGATTGTAAAAAGACATTCTGTTACACAAGATTACCATCTGCACGACTATGTGTCATTAGCTGCTGCCAGCTAGCTCACCGCCTCACCRCGACTGGAACGCTTGCCTGCAGCAGGAGCGTGAGACCAGGCTCTTGGCAGGTTAGCAGCAGCCTGAGGAAGTTGAATGCGGGGTGGCACATGCGAAGCAATGCACTCACTCCTCTGCAGGGGCTACTGCTGGACTGCACTCTCTGGCTACCAGTAGACTGTACTCTCTGCACTAGAACTTTCATTAAGAGAAAGCACAAAAGGTAGAACAGTGATCTAACACGCTAATTTTCTGTAAGTGTATGAACACTTAATTATACTATGGTAGCACCTAAAAACTTCACTAGAAAGGTATTATACTAAAATACCTTCTTTGCCAAATAATTTTGATCTTTTCTTGACATTAATAATACCCCTACAGACCCACATTTACATAAACATACTTTTGTCTAGACTACTTGTTGCCTCTAATACAGGCTTAGTGGTATCAGCAGTAGCAGAACTTTGTTCTTGGAATGTTCTAAGATTGGTCCAACACCTCAGTAGGATTGCTATTAGAATTGGTATTCAGTTCAGTTGGATCCCATCCCTAGCTTACAGAAAGCTTTTAATAATCCATATAGGCAAGTTAAACGCTTTTTTAAGAGCTGCTTTGTAGGGGGGAAAAAAATAAAAAAAAAGAGGCTCTTTGGAAACAAGAGCCTGCAAGTTTTCATTAGGAACTCTTTCTACAAGCAATTTTCTTAAGGATGAAACAGCTAATAAGAATTTTATTGAATTAGTTTTATTTGGAAACTTTTCAATCTGGAAGTAAGAGCACTCTCATATTAAGAGAAAGGGAATAGCACCATTTCCCCCATCTTCCTAACCTCCACAGAATGATCAGAATATTAAGAAACCTATATACTTCATTCATATAAAGAAATGGCCTGAGTTTGTAACATTGCATTAACAATAAAAAAAAAAGAGCATGTTATGGAGAACATTTTCTATTATGTTTTCTTTTTTTTTTTGACCTCAAAAATGTTGCAAAGAATAGCAAAAATAGTCCTCTGAACTGAGATCTTTAATATTTGTTATAAATCTGTAAATAAACTTTTATGAGAAGAAACAAGGCTTAACAAGAACAAAAGAAAAACTTTTTTCTTGTTTTGTCATGCTCTGTTCTTAAACATGGTCTCAAAACATGTTGCTAGTTCTCAAGATTAAGAAAATTCAAACCCCTTGCCAAAATCAGTTTTTGTTATTTATAAAATGTAGTTTGTTCCTCTCCTCTTTCTGTTTCTCTAAAGAGATGTGCCCTTAGCTGGTGCCAGGCCAGCTTAGAAATCAGGACACATTTACTTTTAGCTGACTTCAGTTGTTACTGTTGACAACAAAGCATAAGTGATGGATTTGGGGCACCTGTCCAGCACAAACCCATCTGCTAATTTTCCTCATTCAATTTCGTATTCTTACCTTGAACAGAATCCATTTTAGCTTTAATTAACATTCTTAATCTTGCCACCTCTTGTCTTTTTAGTTCATCCAGCCGTGTTCTTACATGGTGGCTTACTAAATCAAGCTCTCTGCTTAATTTTCCACTCTATTAAAAAAAAAAAAAAAAAGTTATCTAAGTTATCTATATAAAATAAGACAAAGTAGTCTTTAGTATTTCCACTAGACATGAGCAGATTGATGGCAGTCTTTGGCAATACTGTAGCCCACACCGCAAGAATATGAAAAAGATTATTTGCATTGTTAAGTCTATAGCTATAGAAACAGTAGGGAGTTCTAAAAGGTTTCTGAAAACAGAATTTCTAAAAATTTGAATGCTCCAAAGACTGTAAGTAAAACCCTGAGTCAAAAGCACCTAATCATATTTCAGAAGTGACAAATTTCGTGGCCAACTGTTCTCAAATAAGTTCAGGAGAGCTGCAATATTAACATACACAGTGCTACAATTTTCACCTTCTTCAGGAACTTAAGTGGAGTTGCAAGCACTGTGACAGCCACCAAATAGTACAAGAATATTTTCCCAAACTGTGGAAACAGTAATCTTTGACGGTTATACTGGAGGTAGCAGAGCTGACAGAGGAGTCAAAGGATGCCAAAAGCAACTGCAGAAATTAGCTGAGTAAATAGCTAAGTAAATGAAAAATGAAAGAAGAATTTTAAACGCACAAATTGAGATAAGTATGAAGGAAAAAGAAAAGGAAGAAAACATGCAACATAAATCTCACATGATTATGGATTTAATTAATTTTTTTTTTTAATACATACCTTTATTTCTTCTATATCAGCAGTCTGGAGTTTCTCTCTGAAGTGCTTATCTGTTTCCAAGACATCTATTACTTGTCTGAGATATTCATCATAATAGAGTCCCGTATCCTCCAAAAAAGAATGCTAAATTTGAGTTAATATTCCTAYGACACAGGCTATTTTATCAACCCATGAGGGCTTGTGGCAAATGAAATGCTCTTCAGAAGACTACTCCATTGAACCAGGTCCATTTTGGAAAAAAAAAAATCTGCTTTAACTATAGAGATTATATGGCTTTCAAACATTACTGTCCATCAATTAAAAGCTGATATTAGAGTTCTGTTTCTTGTCAAAATCTGCACTTTAGTAAATACAAAATCTCAAATGTTTTCACTCTGTAGTAGTCACAAACACAGTTTGCAGCTGAGAAAACTYCACGTCAGTGTATTTCCCTGACCAAACATTTTTCTATGTAAAGCATCCAAATGAAGTGGTATTCTTATCATCAAAATCATTGCACAGAATTTCCTAAGCCATCACTCAATCACTTGAAAATCTCTTTGGGGCAATAAGCAGTTCTTTCCAGTGTAAGCTGGGGGAATCATTCCATTTACCAATTCATTTTTAGCTGCCAATGAAAAATAGAACAGAAATACCCCACTACATTAGATGGCAGACCAAGTGACAAAATTGGCAAATATTATTTTCCTTTCTGCATATAACTACAATCTATTTAAATTTAAATATTAATTTAAATAAGAATTTGCTATAGCCAGGTTACTGACAATTAACACAAAATATTGAATTAGCAAATTTAATTTTACTTACTGGATTTTCTACTTTTTCTCCTTCTGCATGGGCTTCTTTAACTTTTGTCTTGTCTATGTCTATAGGTACAGCTTCCAAAGCCATTAGAAGACATGATATCAGCAATATACAGTGCTGTGGCAGGACAGATTGCCACTTCATCTAAAATAAAAACAATTCACAAAATTAACACAAATTATGACATTATACTACATTGATTAAAGGTCTTTGATATTCCTACATAGATAGCAGTAAGAACATACTTCTCATACATTCTATTGCTCCTGTGGAACACTAGAACTCAAAAGAATTAAATACAAATGTTAATTTAAAGATATTTATTTTACAATTAGATCTCCCTTGCAGGTAATCTGTTTTAAGTAATCTAACATTTCTGTAGGAAAAATAASTTGTATTCTAAACAGGTAAAGATTTTTTTAGTATTTTTTCAATGACTCGGTAAAACAGGTCAGAATACCCAATGTTCATCCACTTGTTTAGGATTGTCGTCTTGTTTAATTAATATTGATATTACTATTCTGAGTCTATCTTTGCGGAAGACTTTGGCAAATTTCTAATGATAAAACTGGATGGTTAATCAGACTTTTATGTAGCAATGTAGTAAATCAGACTTTTATGTAGTAATGTAGTAAACTGGGAGGAGTAGCTGATAGCCCTGAGGGCTGTGCCGCCATCCAGAGGGACCTGGACAGACTGGACGGCGAGAAATCTCATAAAGTTCAACAATGGCAAGTGCAGGGTCCTGCACTTGGGGAGGAATAACCCCGGATACCAGTACAGATTAGGGGTTGACCTGCTGGAGAGCAGCCCTGCAGAGAGGGACCTGGGCGTCATGGTGGACGACAAGTTGACCATGAGGCAGCAGTGTGCCCTGGTGGCCAAGAAGGCCAACGGGATCCTGGGGTGCATTAAGAAGAGCGTCTCCAGCAGGTCGAGGGAGATGATTGTCTCCCTCTACACAGCCCTGGTGAGGCCACATCTGGTGTCCAGTTCTGGGCTCCCCAGTACAAGAGCGATGTGGAGCTGCTGGAGAGAGTCCAGCGCAGGGCTACGAGGATGATCAGGGGCCTGGAACATCTGCCMTRTGAGCAAAGGCTGAGRGAKCTGGGCCTGTTCAGCCTGGAGAAGAGAAGGCTGAGGGGGGACCTGATCAGCGTGTATAAATACCTCAAGGGAGRCAGTGAGGAGGAGGGGGCGACCTCTTTTCAGTGGTGGACAGCGATAGGACTAGAGAAAACGGCCACAAACTGAAGCACCAAAAGTTCCACAGGAACTTGAGAAAACACTTTTTGACAGTGAGGGTGACAGAGCCCTGGAACAGGCTGCCCAGAGAGGTTGTGGAGTCTCCTTCTTTGGAGATCTTTAAAACCCGCTTGGATGCAGCCCTGTGCCACATGCTCTAGGTGACCCTGCGTGAGCATGGGGGTTGGACTAGATGACCTCTGAGGTCCCTTCCAACCTTAAGCATTCTATGATTCTATGATTCTATGAATGCCAGTAGTTTTATGTTTCAGGTATGAAGTATTTATTGCATTTGCAGTCAAAATCCTCTCCAACCTTTATCTCCATGAAAAGTATTCTATAGACCTCTGCAGTCTCTAGCGGACACTTGGGACTCCAAGCAACTGGAGCTGTAACATCTGAAATTCTCTCTGCAACACTCAGCAGAGCTTATCTTTCAAAAGCTGTAATCAGACTAAGTGCTACTGGATTTGTTGACTTTGAGTAGGATTTGTGCTTGTAGGCGATTCTGGTTCTCTCATAAATACCAACCTCTGTAATTACACTGTCACAGGAAACAGAAAAGATTGGATTATATTACAGGAGGTTTTTCGTATTTATCTGGTGTCTAGCAAGTCTGCCTAGTAAGGACGGTCATCAGGCAGTTTCATTTCAGATTGCACATAGGTTTTCTTCATTGTAGCCATTTGATAAAATAGGGGAAAAAAATCTCAATCCTTGCAGCTAGTTTTGCTGACTGTTAAACTTAACATGAGATTTCCAGTAGTATTTTGAGGAACCCAACTGTTTACACAATTTCTCTAATGAGTAAGAAACAAATATATTTATTAGAGTAGCAAATAACAACCTAGTGAAGACAGAGTTACTGGATTTAGACACATCATAGTCCAAGACTATATTCATCAAGACTAACTCTATAAGTAGCTAAGACATGTGACAACCTTAGAGTGATAATCAAAACTGTGAGTCACTGAACACATTGTATTCTGACATGTATTAGAAGAGATAAACCAAGCCCACTGCAAAATCTGACAGTCAGCTGCAAGAGAAAACTCAGCATGATTCTCAAACACAGMAATTGGAAGGAAGAATGACAAGAGGGTGGATGAGAACTAGGGTTCCAGGCTTTGCTCTGCTAAATATTTTACTAGTAAGAATTCACCTCACTCTCAGCTTTTTATCAGGTCTCTTCAGCAGCTCCCCATTTTTAAAAATCCATTCCCAGATGCCCATCCCTTCACAGGCATTTTGGAGGGAATCTATGAATCTGATTTTTTTTTTTTTTTCTGCAATGACTAGGTGCTGCCAAGTAAACAGATGATCACAGTGCTGCAGAAGAGCAACAATGCTTGCATTTTAAAAGGAGGATCTGTATCAATTTGCTCATTGTCATAGTGGTACATAATGCGCAGCATGTATCCTTGTGCACTGCCATGAGAACCTTCCTCTTCCTTATTACTATTTCTCCTAAAGCTGTGTAATCGAGTAGAAATATAAATTACGTGTTATGATTCTCTGTAGTTGTCTTTAATAATTTCCAGATTACTTTTTTTTTTAATAGATAGATGGGACAGAGCTAGAAACGKTGATTCCAGAAAAGGGCACATAGCATACTTAGATGAAAAGGTAGACTGATTCTAATCTCCTGATGTCAAAAATTAGACTCCTTTTTCCAAATTAGCTAGAGGGATAAAAGAATAATTCTGTTTGTAACATATATATGCAGACTTAATAATAAAAATAGCACTATGCAACTGAAAAAATACTGCAGTTGATAAAGAAAGCCAATATCCTAAGCGGCGAAAATAAAAAGAATGAAACTGCTCTCAGTAGTAAGAAAAAAAGATGTCCAGAGGATGAGCTAGAAGAATGAGATACTCAGCAGAAAAGAAAGCCAACAATGTACTTGCATGAACAGAAAAATATAATTGAAACAGAAAAGTAACAGGCTATCTGCCAACAACCTTGATCTTGATCCCACTTGAAGTTAATCACAAATTCCTATTGATTTCAGTGGAAGAGGACTGGACATTTGAATTGTATAGAGCTATGAGTTTTGAGAGATGACTACAAAATGAGTCTAAAGCTTCTTTTAACAACATTGAAAACAGCAGTAGCCTATTTTATATTGGGTTTATTTATAATATAAATATGAAAATATCTTTATAATTCACTTACATACTACTGTCCAGAAAACAACATAGCTCAGGTAGCGATGACTCTGCCACCTTCTATCAAAGCAATAGATATTTTTTGAGCAGCAGCACCCACTGCCAAATTTTCAAATGCCTGAGATAGGCACACTCATATAATAGTATCAGTATACAATGTTTGTGCACATGTATACTCAGAAGAATATCTGAAGCGAGACAGTACAACACTGTAAATCTCATGCTGCACATTTACATCTGCCAAACTCTTGTGTACTATTATGGGAAATACAATCATCATTCCAAACCTAGAGAATATGCAGATAAGTCTACATATTCATAATATTTGACCCACACCTGCTGTATCTGATATTGTGAGATACAGCTCAAATATGCAGGATGAAATCAATATTCTCTATAACCAAGACTATACTACAACGTCCTATTTTAATTCTGTACTCCGAAGATTCACACAGCTTTCATACAAAGCGCTGCAATTAAAAAAAAAAAAAAGTTTAAGAAATAAAACAGATCTATTGATCTTTATCTAAGAATATTCTAGACTCTGCAATGGAAGGAGTATGTATGAACACAGCATATATATGTGTGTGTGTGTGTACATATTTTCCCCTCCCTCTTTCAATAAATGTTCCACACTCAAAAGGCAGTAACAGTATTCCTTTTGCTATTCTTTGAGCATTTCTTCTCTTTTGTCAAAGTTGTTCATTAATCCCCATGATTAAGATGTTCCTTTTTTTTTTTTTTTTGTCCTTCATTAGCCAATAGGTTTCAACCCAGATATGCTGTCCTAATATTTTGTTAGAGTACATACCACTTACATTCTAACTTTTCAGGATCAGGAGATGCTCCTTACGGCCCTTCAAACAGCACTTTGGTACTGTGTGCAAATATAATTTTATATAAAAGAACATTGTTTAAGTAGATAAAGATAGCAGAATCATTTCTTCTCACCCTGTTTAAATTCTTTTCTTTTGAATCTTGTATTTCTGTTCTCGATATTTTTGCTCCTGTACTTTATCTGCTTTGCTCCCATGATTACATTTAAAGGTCAATTGATACAACAGATTCTTTTTTTCGGCTTCTCAGCAAGCAGAGCATGCCTCAACTGTTTGCAGTACAGCGTTTGCTGACAGAATCTTTTCAAAAAAAAACTTCAAAACTTCAGCTGTTTTCCTCCATGAGTCACTAAATGCCTAATACACATTTTGCTCTAGATGATCACAAAAATTATCCTAAAGGAACCTCGGAGTTTACCAAGACTTCAGTGGATCTTTTTTTGCACTTAGTAAGAATACAGAATATAGCTAAGTGAAATCAATGTAGAAATATATGCAGTCAGATTTTAAAATATTTAGGCAATTAATGATAGCTGCTTGATGATATTTGTTTCTGTAAGTTGCTAATTCCCTTTGATTTCTACATATTTACCCTGCTTTTGGTTTATAGAGATAGGAAGGCATTAGAAATATGATCACAAAACAAGGCTAAATATTCCCTGGATTTTCTATGGTGAGAACAAATATTCATAATTGAATATGAACCCAATATGATTCTCTTCTAAGAGAACGTACTCTTGTTCCAACTGTCCAATCATACATAGTAAATATAAATGAATATTATTTCAATTGAAATTAATAGGAGTTTTGCATCTGATTTCAGTAAAAGCATCGTTTGATTTAAGTGCTTGTCCATAAGGTTCATGTCTAGTAGGTATCTCACAGAAGCTTCACAGAGATTTYTTTTGCTTTCCAAGCAAACAAGTAGACAGGAGTACAGTGCAAGACTAAATAAACACACTCTTGCTGTACAGGAATACAAATAAAGGCAACATTGATATGGGCTTTAAAGTTAATGGTAAAGTTTGTTATCTTTCTTTTGTAAAACACACATTTGTTTAGTCAGAATATCACCAGAAGTATGGGTCAATATTTTGACATTTCTGATAACAGAATCAATATAATAATATTTCAGATGTCCATTATTTCAAAGAGCATCCTTCCCCTTCCTCTTTTGTGATTACAATTACATACATGTCACTTAGGGACAGATTTTAACTTGGTTTATATGCGTCAGAAGTAAATGTTCAGTTCTACTATGATTTCTACAGGGCCAAATTATGGAAACTTCTCCTTAAAGCAGTCTTATTCTGATAAAATCTTTTTTTCTTCTCAATTTTTACTTGAGTAGTGTTTTTTTCTTAATATAATTTTGCATATGAAAGTACTAAGCTGAAAAACTTTATTCCAGGATAAAGCCATAAGGAAATTTACGTCAGGGGCCTATATTAAATATTGTTTCCAGTAGTTAGTGGAGATTTTAGGCAGATCAATGGTGAATTTTAATCTGTAATTTTCTGGGTTTGGGCTGATTTTAATAATCTTTTTTAGAAATAGATGAGATTCACATTGTTATGCTACTACAATGCAGCTTGTTTAGACAAATTTATGTGATATTTGTATACATATTTATCTTTCAATTCTAAAACAAAATGCTGTCATGCTCCAAAAGACTATAGTACTATGAAAAAAAWATATATATGTAAGCACATTCAGGAGTTACTGTATGTAACCAGATTAACAGTTTGCTGCCTATGAAGGATCTTGCACTGTGACAAGATCACAGTATATCAACTGATAGAGGAAGATAAAAAGTGTATCTTAGGTGCTCACAGAAATGTGGATTTTCTCCCATATTCTTTTGAAGAGTCTAAGTGAAGATTAGTAAATGTCAGTCCAAACACTGGTTTTAAGGAAATTTCAAGTGGATCCCTAATTCCCAGCTATTCTTTCATGTAAGTTTTTTCTCCATGCTCACCTTTTTAGTTGAGATGGATAGTCATTTGAAAATTTGGGGCAGAACTACTGCAATACTTAAGACTGTTCTRGGTTTTTCTTGGGGATGGGAGAAAAGAAGGTAATAAATAAAACCAAAGCCAATTCGCATCTTTCACTTGAAAGCCATGGTGCTACACTTTTTGTTACTATTACAGTCTAATTTTGAGAACGCTCAACAGTATCTCTCCACAAGTACTAACAACTCAAATACAGAGGCTGTTGCCAATTCCTTCTATAAGCTGACCCAAAAGTGTAACCAAACCTGAATTCTTTTGAAAACCATGGTTGTGTTCTTTTCAGGAAAGAAATAAACAAACCAAAAAGTTCTCTACAACCACAAATTCAAACTTTCCTCTTTTGCAATATTTTGCAATTACAGCAACTATCCTGATACTGCTATATTTTAGCAGTTCATCCTGTGGTTCTATAGAAAGCACAGTGCTATAATCTTTGCAGTAAGACTGTCTTTGCTTGGCAGAGACAGGGAAAATGTAGTCTCCTGGACAAAGCAGTGTGAGCTCTTACTGTAGCTGTGCAATTATCAGCCACTTAACATTTTGCTACAAGCTCAGTATTAATTTCTCACCGTACTTCAAACCTAACCAATTATGCATAACTCAGTGGGCTGCTAAAGTGTTACTTCCTGGAGAGCCATTAACCCTAAAGGACAGCGCTTCAGCATAAAAGCCCGGGGGAATGAAACCTAAGGATGCTCCCAGTATCCAGCAGAGCACCACTTTTCACAGAGACCTCCAAGCTTCCGAAGTGGCACCTGCACCTCAGCCCAGCTCGCCTTGCCGCAAACTCGGCCCCTATTGCCCCTATTGTCTTTGCCTAGTGTTATTTATTGGACGGAAGGGAGAGAGTTTAGATCCCCAGGGCAGGAGAGCTCCCGGGGGCCTCTGGCCTGCGGGGCGAGAGGCCGCCTCGGTAACCCTCAAACCTGACCCGCACGCGGCCAACGGCTCTCCCTGACAGCAGCTCCCCTTCCCGCGTGGCCAACGGCTCTCCCTGACAGCAGCTCCCCTTCCCGCGTGGCCAACGGCTCTCC